GGGAAATGCCAGCCCATGGCCTCAGCTGTATGTGCTGCAGGGGGGTGGATGCACCTCGCACAACTCACCCAGGAACGAAAGCTAGCTCCGGTCCTTTTCCTGTTAGGGAAACTGTGGACTCGATGTCCTGACAGGCTGGAGTTTGTGCAATCTGTACAAACACAATAGCTCACCATGATTACAAATGATGAAATGCAATGTAAAATGACCAAAGAAATAACAGCTGAGCTCACTAAATTACAACCACTCGAACCAACTACCAACTACTACCGTGAATTGGGCAGAGAAGGAGTCCGAGAAAGTTGCTCCCTTATGTGACGGAATATGAGGCGTTTGACGTATAACGTTAACAAACAAAACGGCTACTTCCCCCTCTGAATTCCTGCTCTTATGTCTCATGAAACATATAAAATCCTGTATTAACTTTGTATTAATTGTAAATTCCAGGCAAGGTTAAGCTAAGCATAAATGTAGTAAAAAAAAAAACCTGCAAGCTGCTCTTTAACACCTATGCAACTTCTGGTCACGTGGAATTGGCCGTTGTCGTGGTAACTGTAAACAGCAGAGCGCACACACCGGGACAAAGGAGTCAGAAACATGTCGGATGTCGGTTCTGATGAGTTTGATGATGAACGCGGGAAACTCGGGGTGAGTTTATTGTCTGTCTGTGAGTGAGTCAGACATCTTTGCTTTGTTGTAAATAATTACGCTGGCTGAAGCTAACGTTAGCATTAGCAGGCTACAGACTGTGTGATCCGCTCTGCCGTGTCCCCGCAGGAGTATGACGGCGGGAGGAACGGAGCCGGAGAGAGGCACGGAGCCGGGAGAGCCGTCCTGCCCAACGGGGACGTGTATCAGGGCGGGTACGAGAGCGGCAGGAGGCACGGACAGGTAGGAGTAAGACCCCAACGGTAGAAAAACGTTCCTAACCTTAAAATAGCTTCTAACTTAGAACCTATGTTCAGGTTAGGAAAACGTTTTTAGAACTTAGAACTCCTAAGTTCTAGCCGTTTATTGTTCTTCTAAATATGTAACTGCTGTTTAGCTAGGATTCCTCATACATGTTCATATTAAGGACATCACTGGGCCAAGGTCCGTCAAAGATTTAAAATGGTATATATATATGCAATTGGAAGATAAGATTGTTGTAGTAGACGACCACCGATTGTCAATACTGATATTTATCTTTGTCAATTATATTTCTTTATTTAATTATAATACATCTTGTTTATCATCATGAATATAGAAAGTAAACATAGTAGTCCCTTTAACTCATTAAGCACCCAAAGTTAAAGTGAATAACAGGAGTAATAATTTCTAAAATAAATGTTTTTGACAAATAGATTGCACATTTTACAGTGTTGTCCTGACAACGTGCATAGACAGGTCAGTCACCATCAGCTTCAAACGGCCAGTCCTGCAACAGAGGCCATGTGGCAGGCCGTGGCAAAGCGTCTGTTTCTGAATGTACCTGCCACGTTCTTGCAAGACAAATGTCTCTTTGACAATTCATCTTGACTCTAGGGGACATATTGCTTCAAGAATGGGGCGAGATATGTTGGAGACTATTACCAGAACATGAAACATGGACACGGCACCTTCTACTATCCCGATGGCTCTAAATATGAAGGTACAAGAATCATATTATTTTTGGGATAGTTGCCAACTTCTGCATTCCATCAGTGTGTGTCCGTTTACAGTTTTGTGAAGATTATACTATTTTTCAGCTGGCAACTTTGTGTGTGTTAGGTTTGTGGGTTGAGGACCTGAGGCAGGGTCATGGTCTCTACACCTACCCCAATGGAGATGCTTATGAGGGGGAGTGGCTTCATCATATGAGGTATATCTACATTTTGTGAAAGCACACAATTCTCTGTGCCATCTGGATTTAAAAGCCAGCTTGGTTTTCCATTATCTAACCTCTGTGGTGTAATTTAGTGAACAACATTTACTCAAGTAAGATTTTGGGGTACTTATATTTTACTTACTGTAGGTATTTTATTTTATGCTACTTTATACTTCTACTCCAATGCTTTTTGGAAGCCAATATTATATTTTTTTACTCTATTGCATTTATTTGACAAAATGAGTTACTGTACAGATTCAGATCATTAGCTTAAACAACATTTAAATAAACTATGGTATAAAAGTATAGGTTAAGATATACAGCAGCAGTAGATAAAAGTAGCACAACCTTTACCAGCATTCAAAAAGTAATCCAGTTATTTAATAAAAATGATTCTAACATGGGACATTACGCACAATGACTACTTTTACTTTTGGTACTTTAAGTATATTTGAATGCCGATACTTTTGTTATTTTACCTAAGTAAGATTTGAAATGCAGGACTTTAATTGTTTGTAAACAGATTATTTTTACACTGTAGTATTTCTAGTAGGAGTACTCCTTACAACACTGTCTACACTCAATGATTAAGACCTTTGCTAAATCACTGCTGTAGACAACTATATGTTATTTCAACAGCCTGACAAAGTGATTTCAATAAACAGGATGTATATTTATTTTCAACCAAAACTAAGTTTCAATATCGACACCTTTTTACCTGAACATTACCAAACCCATTCTAAATACCGTTAATAGCATTTCAGAACTGCTGACATCCTTGGTCTCATGTGATTGCTAGGCATGGCCAGGGCATTTACAACTACCAGGAAACTGTCTCCAAGTACAAGGGCTCATGGGTAAATGGCAAGATGGAGTCAGCTGGGGAGTATATCCACTCTAACAACAGATACATGGGTAACTTTGTCAACAATAATGTAAGTTTTACTTTAATACCTCACAAAATGCTTATACAATGTTTTAACAAAATGTTATTCACCAACTAAAGTGTACATACCACATTAAACACATACACAACACAACAGTGGCGAGCCGTAGCTTTTATACCAAGGCCCCATTCCCTCAAAAAAAAAGATTTATTACGTTACAGCCTTTAAGTCTATGGTCACAGCGTATACTTCAGCGGAATATCAAAACAACGGCCCGGGGTGCAAAGCGCATCAATGACAGTGACCCTCTGCCACACAAAACAACACCATTTATATAAACACCTATCATGACAGGGCACCCACAGCCAAGTAACAATTACAAATGAATTAAGTAGGCACGGCGGCCCGTGGATATTATCCGGCTGAACAAAACGTGCATTTATCTAACAGGTTCGTTTTCCACAGACCTTATTTTGAGCTATTTTCCAAAATCCTATGGAGAAATCTCATTGCTTTTTTGTCGAGGGAACTCGAGCGCAGCTTACTTCCGGGTTTTAGGACGCGTCACTGCACCACGATAT